ATATATAATATTGTTACATTTGACCAAAGATAGTAGTGTACTAGATCTATCTTTGATTTGACTCAAAACAAAATCGTTTTTCATGTTTCAGTGCTCATACAGGCAACACAGAATGGCTGTTCAGGAAGTATTATCTTTATTTTCTAAAAAGAAAATGATCTTGCAGGGGAGGATATGAGCGTGAATAGGCCTAGTAGATCTATAGCCGGCTCGCCAAGTCAGATACTTCGCATGACAATCATTCCTATTTTCAATTACCAATGACCAATGACGCTAGGCCTGGCATACACAATACACAGGACTCACTTATCAACCCAAACGCGGAGTGATACTATGAAGTTAATTGGGTCATGATCTTCCACTTTGCCTTTTTGCAAAAAAAGACTTTATTGTATTACAATTTACGAATTAACAACAACAACAAAGAAAACATTTTCGAAATCTGGAATCTTCAAATAAAAAGGAAAATATCAAAATATTCACGAATGCCCTTGCAAATAATACTGTTTGTTATGCGCTCATACTTCCGGTTGTAAACATCCGCCTGAGCAAAAGTACGTGATCCCTGTGATAGCCTCCCAATGTTAGGCCAGTGTAAGTGCACAATTAGTCTTGCAAGGATAATGAATATATCTTAACAAAGGTTTGTTTTTTTGTATATATGAATGTCGCTTCCCTATCTTTGAGTCCATCGCAGTTTCAAATGGACGTTACATTTCCCAACCAAATCTTCAAGATCCATAAATGGGGACCTCTAAATTACAAACTGAGCTTTCACTCTCACAACACAACGACAAAGTGACAAAGTGAACTTTCAAAAGCAAAGTAGATTCTGGAATATAGATTCTAGAATCAAGTGGAGTCGTCCTCTTAAACTGCATTATTCTATGATAGTTAATGAGATATGTAAACATTTATCGGGAAGATTGAAGAATACCGGACCACTCGTACCATTATTGTGCGAGAAAGTGGGGTAGGTGGGGCGGGTGGTTGGGATGGAGGAGGGGGGGTTCAGGGGGGTCTCCCCCCTGACAAAACTTTCAATGAATAAATCTACCGGTCCGAGATTCTCCATTGAGAGATATTAAAAACGGGAAAATTATGAATTCCTAAGGTTGAGAGTCTAGACTCTAGATTCTAGATCTAGGATCTAGATTCTAGATCTAGATCTAGATAATCTAGATCTAGAATCTAGATGAATCTAGATCTAGATCTAGATCTAGAGTCTAGATCTAGGCAAAGTCAATCCGCTGGACCCGCTGGTCCGGTATTCTTCAATCTTACCCATTTATCTGAATCTTGAATTTTTTAAAGAGACCTTTGGTTCTTCATTTTATTCAGAACACATACGTTCACGGCGTTCACATAGAGTTATGAAAGTGGCTATTCTCACCCGCCCGGAAGTTCTCGCAAGTTCAACTCCTCCCCTCTTCTCTCTCTCTCTCTGTCTCTTTCTGAATACTGTCTACTGTCTATCGGTGTGGACGATCAAATTGACCAAAACAAAGTTTAAAAATGATGTTAAAACACAAAAGTAAATTAATTTGGTTGTCTACAAAGATGCTACGGCTATTTAACTTTTCGAATCGAGCCGAACTACGCGGGTCGCCATTTTGTTTTGCCCGGAAATTCTCGCGCTACTCCTCTCTCTCTTTCTCTCTCTCTCCACTGCCCACAGACAAAATTGTACGCTTTTAGTAGGCTACAGTTGTAATGGAACGTTTGTTCACGGCACAGAATTCTACAATTTTTCTGTTATCACAGTGTAGAATTCTGTGGTTTAGGGTGAACGCAAAATTTGGTGAACGCGCACCGGGTGAGAATAGCCACAAGACTCGCCTGCACTATTCTCACTCCGGATGAGAATAGAGGTGGCCTAGAGTTATACTGTATAGCATAGCTGCCCACTGTCCCGGGCCATCCATATTTTGTACGGATTTTCTTGAAAAATCGCTGTTGTCCCGGAAATACGGAAGGTAAATTTTTACTTTCACTCCCACACACAGATGCACTGTTTCAGGGGTCAAACTGCAGTACTGTTTGCTGCAGATCACACAAAAAAGCCACTAAAACTGTCGCAAATCAGTTATTTTCAAGACAATTTCAAATCTAACTGTAAAATATCAAATTATTGGTAAAAACACCCCTGTAACCCCCCAGATTTTCTTTTACCCCAGTGTTGGGGCAGGCCTGCCTGGAACCCCCCGATTGGTCCAAAGCACGTCTCTCTCGGTTAAAAACAATCAAATATTTTTAAAACTATTAATTTGCGACAGAAATGAAGTTGATATTCGTGTTCAGCGCATCAATATTTAGTAGAAAATAGACAACTGGTAGCTGAGTATGGGACGGGAGGGAAAGTAAAAAAATGGCCACCTCTATTCTCACCCCGAGTGAGAATAGTGCAGGCGAGTCTTTTGGCTATTCTCGCCCGGTGCGCGTTCACCGTTATAGCCTAGATCTAGGCCAACCAATTTTGCGTTCACCCTAAACCACAGAATTCTACACTGTGATAACAGAAAAATTGAAGAATTCTGTGGTGTGAACAAACGTTCCATTACTACTGTTAGCCTACTAAAAGCGTACA